AAGGCTTGAGGGTTTGAACCCAGGGTATGTTAGATATTTTTTTCTTAAAAAATAATGTAATCGTATGATATTTTTAACAATTGATTAGAACTGCTTGTGTTTGTGTTGTAGGTGTTATATGATGTAATTACAAGAATGAAAGTTGGGTTTTTCCATAATATGGATTTCAAGAATGGAAGCATCGTGTTATTCGTCTCTTTGTTCGGAAGTGCAGTCATACAAGCTCAACAAAACTTTCAACCTGTGGAATCCTGTCCAATGACCAAAACAGAATGGCATAATCGACAAGTTATTAAAAACTGCACAAATCCACCCGATTATCTCTGTGCTGCAATAGAATCAAAGGAAGGTCAGTTTGGAGAAATCTGTACAAATTCTGCTTTGACTCTACCTGGATACTGTCCTATTCTTAATGCTGTGTCACACAATCTCGACTTCAAGAATTGCACTTTCATAAATAAGGATTGTCCAAAGGAATCGTACAGATCGGATGAAATTTACATCTATTCATTTTGTTTCTCGATATTTAGCCGTAATCAGTCAATCGAAAATTCTGATTACAACAAACTTAATGAGACGCAAAAAATTGTGATAGTTATTATATGCATTTTTGGTGGTGCAGCACTACTAGCAGTTATCATATTTCTCTTAATTAAAAGAAAGAAAAAATGTATAAACAATAGAAAACGTTCGGAGGCAAATCGATTACGAAACGAAAGCATCGACAGAATTATGGGAATAGCTCTCCAAGACATAGAACTTTCAACACTTAAAAGCGAAGATAAAAAAGGTGGTCAATAGGGATTCCAATGGTTTCTCTAAAATAATTAACAATCTTGCAATGTCTATGTAAAAAAATATTGAAGTCACAAAGATAGTTATGCACTGGAATAAAACTAACCAAAGAAAGATTCTATTGTTATCCAATTCACTGCTGTTAATACCGTATAATTCCTATTAACCGCCCCGGGCGCTTAGAAAATTGCGGAAAGGGGGCGGTTATTTTGATATTTTTGCTAAAATTTTGAATGTCATTAGGTCGTTCTAAAAATATTTTACTTTCAAGAATATTTTATGCATGAGTTACCTAATAACAAAGTTTCATTGTTATTCTTGAGAAGAAGATTTTTAAAGAATTTTCCTAAATATTTCCATGTAAAACTTTGAACGGCCATAGTGGCCCCGCCCCACCCCCACTGGTCAAGATTTGAATAAACTTGAATCTACACTACCTGAGGATTTTTCCATATTTTTCATCTTTCCTGGCACAGTGGTTCTTGAGAAGAAGATTTTTAAAACATGCCACCAAATTTTCACTAATTCCCAATTATCTCCCCTTGAATGAGGGCGTGGCCCTTCATTTTAAAAACTTGAATCTTCTTCACCTGAGGATGCTTTGTGGCAATTTTGTTTGAAATTGGCCCAGCGGTTCTTGAGAAGAAAAGTTTACAGACAGACAGACGGATGGACGCCGGACAAAATGTGATTAGAAAAGCTCACTTGAGCCTTCGGCTCAGGTGAGCTAAAAATGAATCTACACTACCCAAGAATGTTTTCACATAGGTTTCAATTTTATAGCCCGGTAGTTCTTGAGAAAATTTTTATATCTACGGGTCAGAGACCAAAAGAGGTTATGCGATAGTGCATTGTCCATCGTCCGCCCGTCTGTCTGTAAACAATTTTTCAAAATGCAACTCCTCCTACAGATTTGAGCTGATTTGAATATAACTTGGGACACAAGTAGACTACACTAAGATACATGTATACAGGTGTCTCATTATATCGCGGTACTTAAAACTTTTGCATAAAAAAGTGTAATTCGATTTTTTAAATTTAACTTTCATCAAATGATATTCATAAACCAAACTATGGCCTAACCTTTTAGTATCAATTTATTTCCCAAGCTTGCATCGTTTATTTTCTAGTCTATTTTTAAAACAGGAAGTCTTATTTACCTCCAAAATCGGAGAGTCTCATAGTATCGCGGTATGGGAAAACAAGAAAACATGGGTTTGACATGGACTTCAATTCTTATTTTTTATTTTACTATGTAATTCTACATTAGAAAATAAACAGTTATACGACCTAAAGACTTTCAAAACATGAACTTTATATGGATTTTACTAGATTATAATCTCAGTGGGCTAAAAATAATAAAAACGGGGATAGATTTCTGTTTTATTTGAATAATTTTTTTCTGACGCATGTTCCATACTTTTTAATCATCATAAAAATTTACATTCAGATTACAGACTAATAGTTTATTCAACAAAAAGCAAATGAGCTACGTATAAGATTTTTTTAATGTACCGCGATACAATGAAACCCGCGATATTATGAGAATCGAATATATATACATTTTTGATTTTGAGAGAAAAAAATTCTGTGAAATACTTTCAAAACGCAACTCCTCGTACAGTTTTGATCTGATTTCAGTACTAGTATTATTTGGCACACAAGTAGACTATAGTAAAATAAAAGATTCTGTCTAGCGTTCTTGGATTTGATGAACGGTGTTGCTATGATTACTAGTATTTGAAATGAAAATGATTTGAAAAGCTTTCAAAACGCTAGTTCTACTATAGTGTGTGCTTTGATTTCAATCTAACTCGGCACAAATATAAGCTGCAAGAAAAATACATAATTCTAATTTCCGGTTTTTGATTTTAATGAATGGTGTTGCCGTGATTACTTAAAATAGAAATTTCTATAAAATACTTTAAAACGCCAGTTCTTTGGTTTTTATCTGATGTTAGTATAACTTATAAGTATAACAGTACATTACATGTAGTTACTCTTCCTACAGTTTGGGCTGATCTAAATTTAACTAGGCATGCAAATAGACTATGTTGTACACGGAGACATGCAATTGTCTTTATCGTTTTCTGATTTAGACGATTTTTGTTGCAGTATATTGCAGTGCTCAACGCATGGAAGCTGACGGTGAGATCATTCTTCGTTTCTCTTGCCCTCTTAGGTTCTTTTACCCACTCTATCGCCTTCATACGGTGGTGTCCTTAAGACAGTAATGCAAATGAAAAAAAATGTCTCAGTACGTATGTCCTACAAACGACAGTTTTTGTAAAATCTAAGAATTTAAATAATACAAGTAAGTCACAAAGCGAGTAAGTGATAAAAAAACAACTGAATTATTTAGTTCATATCTTTGAAAAGGACAAAAACAAAAGAAAAAAAGGACGCAAGAAGGTAGTAGTCAATTGCAATATATATTTTTTGAAAAAAAACAAAAAACATTCATTTCTACAGTATTCATGGTATTAGGAGAGTCAAAAATCATAGCATATTTTGAAGGACTGTCTCAGTACGTATGTCCTACAAACGACAGTTTTTGTAAAATCTAAGAATTTAAATAATACAAGTAAGTCCCAAACGCAGAATCCTATCTTGATATTATCAAAATGAAAGATAATATTTCCTTGTTTAATATATGTTCGTCACTTTTGTGACTTTTTTAAAAATCATGCTGGATCTCTAACATTAGATGGTATAAAGGCAGCAAATGAATCTACCTTGGCTTGTATTTGACATTGACATTTTGATATTCGAAAATTCTTGAACATTCATTAGAATCGTGAACACAGCTAGTCAGAATAAAACTTTGTGGATGCGAATTATATTATAGTATATAAATTTCAAATTTTAAATGAATATGGAAGGGATTCAAAATGGTCTTTCCTACTGTGCTGTTTTTATTTACTTACATTCTGAAATTAATATACCTCATTAAATTACATAGATATCCCTTATATATTCTTTTCACTAACAAATCTCTCAGAAATAGGGACCATTTCGCAAAGAGAGTTGTCTCTTTCCTTTAGAGGGATATCTTTTACTTAGATACCTCTTTACTTAGAGTGACAATTCTTTCTCTTTGGGAGATATCTCTTTCGCTTATAGAGATATAGTATCTCTAAATACATTAAAGCATCAAATTTCTGGGAGATATCTCTTTCGTTTATAGGAAATAGTATCTCTAAATACATTAAAGCATCAAATTTCTGTACTCAAACCATGCATCCCAACCACCAGGATAAATGTAATAATCTTTTTTATTAAATAAGAAATAGTCCATAGAAAGAATACTGAAAACAAAACAAGAGGCTCATAGTCCACATCGCTCACCTGAGTAACTTTGGTGATTCAGTTCTTTACCTATATTTTCTATATAAAACTTAGATTCCCTATTGTGGTCCCGCCCTACCCCCGGGGGCCATGATATTAACAATTTAGAATCTACACTACCCCGGGAGGCTTCCACATAAGTGTCAGATTTTATGGCCCAGTGGTTCTTGAGAAGAAGATTTTTAAAGATTTTTCCTATATATTTCTATGTAAAACCTGGATTCCCTATTGTGGTCCCGCCCTACCCCCGGGGGTCATGATTTTTACAATTTAGAATCTACACTATCCCAGGATGATTCCATATAAGTTTCAGCTTTTCTGGTCCACTGGTTCTAGAGAAGATTTTTAATGACCCCACACTATTTTTGTCTTTTCTTGATTATCTCCCTTTGGAACGGGACTTTGTCCTTCATTTTTAAAATCTAAACTTCCCATCACCCAAGGATGCGTTGTACCGAATTTGGTTAAAATTGACTCAGTGGTTCTTGAGAAGAGTTTGAAAATATGAAAAGTTTACAGACGGATGGACAGACGGACTACGGACAAAATGTGATCAGAAAAGCTCACTTGAGTCTTTGGCTCAGGTGAGCTAAAAAAGTTTAATAACAAAATAAAGCAGCTTCAGAATAAGATTCAGAATTATCATTGTTTATATAAATATATTTCTAAGGGAGCAGACGAAAGCTAACAGGTTAATATATAGTATATAATATAGTATATAATAGTAATAATATATAATAGTATATAGTAATAATATATAATAATAATAATAATATAGTAATAGTATATAATAGTATATATAATAGTAATAAGTATATAATAATAATAATAATAATATTAGTATATAATAGGTTAATAACAAGTTAAATATGGGGATTGTTTTACTAAATGCATCTGAAAATCGTGTTAAACTTTTAAAAATAAGATAACATTTAATGGGGCCGCAAATAGTCAAAACATTTCTCTATTAGAGATGGTTAACCGTTTGTTAAAATACACAGCAATAAATAACACACAAAAAAAGAAAACAGCTGCTTAGTCTAACATATCAACGGACACGGGGCATATTTCAGTGTGATTTTCAACGTATCAACAAGTTTTCTTGATTTCTTGTACACAATCCTCTTCTATGCTATTGATGGTTCTCTTTGTAAAAATGTTTTCTACTTCTTTGCTGTAAAATTTCTCATCTTTATCGTGCCAGTTCTCTGATATGTCGATACTGTTCTTAACTATGCCGTCGCAGTCTTCTGATGTTTCAGAACAGCTATCTTTTTTGAAGAAGTAAGTCTCATTTTCATCATGCCAATTCTCTTTTAGAAATATGTCACACAAGCCCTCGGGATAATCAAATTTTTCAAACACATTCAATGATGATTCCTCTGTTTCCCTGTTTATTTCATTCACATCCGTTAATTTCTGTGATAGTTCTGATTCCATAATTTCCTTTCGATATTTTTCGTTCTCGTTTTGTTTTTTCTTCCATATACACCATATGCATATTATTATTATCATTATGGTTATTAGTCCTACAGAACTAACAACAATGACAATCGGCATCGTTACATTATTCCCCTGATCTGGAACTGCAGTTGAACTTCGGAATTTGTTGAATCGACTCGGGTGACTAGATATTGAGAAACAAACTGGATGCCTGTAGACTTCGTCTGATCTATATGCTTTTTGTGGACATTCTTTATGAGTAGTGCAACTCTTGAAGTCAAGATTGTGGGATAAAGCATTAAGTACAGGACAGTCTCCTGCAAACGTCAAAGCAGGAAGAGCACATATTTCTCCAAACTTTTCTGTTGATTCTATGGCTGCACAGTGATAATGAAGTGGATCCTCACAGTTCTTGTTTTGTTGTCTGGTTTCCCATTCTATTTTGTTCTGGGGACAGGAATCCACACGTAGAAAGTTTTGTTGAGCATGTATAAATACACTTCTAATCCAAGTGACCATTAAAACGATTCCCCATTTTGAAATCATTATCTCATAAATTTTTATGCCTTACCTGAAAAAACCTATTTAGTGTACTTTCGTTTCCCAAAGATAGATACATGTACATGAATTAACACGTACTGAATATTTAAAATACATAGATCTAGGTATGTTTACAAAGTAGTAAATCAAATAGATCTTTTCTGATTATTTCTTTATTACTAACCATATTAATTAAATATGTCACAAAGCGAGTAAGTGATAAAAAAAACAACTGAATTATTTAGTTCATATCTTTGAAAAAGACAAAAACAAAAGAAAAAAAGGACGCAAGAAGGTAGTAGTCAATTGCAATATATATTTTTTGAAAAAAAAAAAATTCATTTCTACAGTATTCATGGTATTAGGAGAGTCAAAAATCATAGCATATTTTGAAGGACTTGACACAGATAATACACATGTGAAATATGAAAGCCCTATCTTTTTGAATTTCTATTCAAAATGTATGACCAAGGTTTAAGTTTTTTGATAGGTAGACTGACAGACAGATAGACTGACAAACAGAGGAATAAGAAAGTGCTAAAGCGGGGGACGAAGGTTTAAGTTTTTGATAGGTAGACTGACAGACAGATAGACTGACAAACAGACGAATAAGAAAGTGCGAAAGCGGGGGACGAAAAACAAATAGCTTTGCAAGTGGTGTAACAAAACAATGAAAAATCGTCAATAACCATGCATACTAAGACAATTAAAGGAATAAAATATACATTTATATTTATTTTATAATTTATCTAGGTTTGAGAGCAGCATGCGTTTTTTTTTCGAATACAAGAACCAAACTGAGCCCTTAGTCCAAAAGAAAATAGTTTGGTTCGAAATTTCCTCAAAATGCGCATTTTTCCTGAAAACTTCTAGTATGTCGATAGCTGCAGAACTGTAGCTCTCTGTTTGAGAAAATTCGGAGCAGAGTGCTATGGATCCATGCGTTGTAAAAACCTTCGATTTACGCCACCGATTATATTTCTGCAGCTAAGATTTACACAGGAGACAAGACAATAATTTTAAAATGTACATGTTTAGCGAATTAAATTCACAGGTCCCCAGGACTTCGCTACAACCGAGTTTTACTGTATAATTAAAAGAAAAATACAACAAACTTTGTCAGATTTTAATTTGTAAGTAGGTAAGTAAATTTTATTTATAGTCGGACTATATACATAAAAAAAACACGAGCTTTAAAGCTCTTTTACCGACTAGTAACATAGAAACACATTTAGCATAAATTAAATATATACATACATGTATTTACATATATAAGAGGAAAGTTTATATACCGTAGTACATTGCTTTTAACTTTCACTAAGATAGAAGTACATAAAAACACAAAAAGTAACAAAAGACACCGATAAACACATATAAAAAAGATATATCATAGCGATGGTTAAAGGTTTTTTCCTTCAAAAATGGGTCCAACTCCAAGGTCAACATGTTTTTCTTTTCCTATATGAAGCAAACTTATCCAAAAACTTCTGCATGACAAGAAACAAATTCTTGCAGTGGCCTTCTACTCGAGATTCAGATACAGATATATCGACGACATTTCATTAATTAAAAATGTTAATTCCATTCATATGTCGACTTGATTTGTCACCATGAACTTAAAATTAAAGACACATCTGTCTCATCTCGGTTATATTTTACCGACTATGAAGATAAAGTCAACTAACAATTAAATTGTATAGAAACAAGAAGACCAGCTTTTTCTTCGTCAACTCTCCTTATTTTTATAAGTAATAATATTCTGCTATCACCTGAATTTGGTGTCAATATCTTTTATAACTTACTGTAAATCACTTTTTATTCGCGAGAACTTTATTTTCCCGTGATTACGCGAGACGGTATGCTCGCTAAAATGTCATTCTCGCGTAAATTAGAATTCCTTAAGGTTATATATAGCAATGATGACAATTCGTGAAAATTTTGTCTCGCTAATAAAAAATCAATGACTATCTCGCGAAAATAAGGTGTCGCGAAAATTAAGTGATCTACAGTATACGATACTCAAAAGCATTATCTGAGTACGGCCAATTCGTTAAACGAGGCAGGCCACTGGTCTTGATGTTCCAGGGATTTCAAAAGTCTGTTTTTAAGGAAACTCAAGAATACAATGACTTTTTTTAGCAAAATTAAGTCATCAATGGGTCGCATTTGTTCGGCGTATTTCGTACCAATTATTTGTTAGATCTTTTTTTGTTTTGGCTTTTATTCTAAATTTGGCTATGGAATATTTCGTGTACCTAAACAATTCAAAGGGTTCACGACGTGTGTAACCAATTGGAAGGAGATTATTGCTCCTCCTAGCCACCTTATCCCACCAAAGATAAGGATCCATGTCTTATGTCTTTTTTCACAGAATGTAGGGTCACTTCGTTGTTTGCACCCTTTTCATTCGTTCTATTTGAGGTAAACTCTTATTCTACTGCTTACTTGATCAGCGACCCATAATCTGTCTTTGTTATCTATGCAGACTCTATGTGGCCAAACCAGTTCATGTCTCTTTGTAAGTACAGCTGTAGATATCTCAGGAAATATCCATCTTTGTCAATGATGTGAATGGTGGCGTTCTCTCGATCTGCTATTAGGATATGTCCAAGACTATCGGTTGCAAGATCACATGGAAAAAAACTTCCAAAATGTGTTCAGCCAAGAGTAACCACCCTCGTAAACGAATCTCTCCTCGTTATTTCTGTGTACGACAATTTTTTTTGGGAATTGACTTCGGAGATGCAAAAATCATTGTTCATATTCAAACAGAACGCAAAATGGTTCATTTATGTGTGTTGATGAGTAATTTCCCGCCTTACGTTCCCTCTTTTGAAATAATTTACAATTTTCCCGCCACAACAATAACGCAGGCAAACAATAACGTCACCGGAGCGCGTGGTACATATGCCAAGAGATCGACCATTTGTGTGGAAAGCGGCATTTTCGATATTATCAGGACTGACTTTTCGGATACATTTGTTCTTGTTGACTGAATAAAGCATATCTTCTTCTTTTGGAGGTACCAGTCCGGATGGATATCACTGTATTGTGAAGTTTGAACAAATATTTGCTTGTCTCCTTCATTTAAAAAAAATATGTTCTTTTTTGCCACAAAGTAGGAAGTTTTGAGTATATATATACTTTATAAAGAACATATCGGATAAACATAATTCAATCTTAAAACAGACACTATTGGAAAAGGCAGATTTTTTTGATTTTTTCATCTCGCTGTTCACACTCTTGTTTTGGAACGTGGTCTTCCGGGTTCTGCAGATCGATTTGTCCGTTTTTCTGCCTCCACTTCCGCTGATTGTGTTATCGTAGGCGACAAAAAGAACCCCAAAAGCCATTTGATATTATCTTTGTTAAGAAATTCTTTGTGGGGAGAAGACCAAGATCTTGGACAAATCTAAAAAGGTTCCATGATAAGGCCTTTTGGATAAGCAATCATTTACTACTGTAAAACTTCATTTTTTCAAATAAAGGGTCCTTTTTTATTTATTTTTTTCATATTCTTCTATCACATTTTCTATCACTTCGATGTCTTCGTATAAGCATCAACCAAATGCGCGGATCTAGAGAGGGGTCGGGGGGGGGGGGGGTCAGGACCCCCCTGGAATTTCCAAGGTTAAAAAAAATGTAAATACTAAAGCAAGAAAAAGGTTACCATGGTCCCCCCTTAGAAAACACAGACCACCCCTGGTAAACGCGATTATGTATAAAAAGTGGGCATGAAAAGTTAAAGATTTGAGGCAAAAGACGTCATAGACACCCCCCCCCCCCCCCCAAGAAATAGTTTTTTTGACGTTTGGGCGAGTGTAGGTTTTCTTTCTTTCTTTCTCTCTCTTTTTTTTTTTTTTTTTTTTTTGCTTGTCAAGGAATTTATGGGATTGGATTTTTTTTAATCCCCCCCCCTGGAAAAAATTTCTGGATCCGCGCCTGAACCAACTGAATTATTTCCTGGAAAACTTTGTCCACTTTTTTTCTCTTTAGCCAATAGCTTAATTGTTCCTTTTAGGCAATATACCTTTTGGATATGATTTGTAATGGATTTAAGTTTTGATAGGCGTTCTTCATTCTCAGATTAGAAATATTCCTTTATTCTCATATCATCGGTGGCGGCTTTTTGATATATTCTTCAAACATGCTTTCCAAATTGCAAAGAGTTTTGCTTTGCATGTTTTTCATAAACTCAATACATACTGAGATCCTACAAACATTTCAGCACATGATGTATTCATTACAATAAAAAAATATTGTTAACCAGATCCAATTACTTTTCCTCATATATCTTATCAAATATTTGTTGATTTTGTGTAGAAGTGGGGCTTATTTTTAATGTAGTCTTCCGCTCATCATGAGAAGGATTTTTTTAATTTAATCTCATATCTTTATTTTTTTATTTTCTATTTGTCTTTATATCTTCGCTTTTCATTTATACTTCATATTTGCATTCCATTTCTATAACATTATGTTGTATTCTACTAATTGTTACTCATCCTGGGTACCTAATCCCAACTCTGGAATTTCGAGGGATCTGAGTTTTATGTCCTCTTCATATATTTGTTTATAGATTTTTTTTTTTAGATCGATCGATGCTCGCTATCTTTACCTTTTATATCAAACGAAAAGGGACGTTTTAAATATCGTTGCAAGTTTAATCAGTGTAAGGCACAGCAGAATGAGCGTTAGCTTTAGTGTTTGAGTGCATTCGCTAATGAAAAATACGACGTAATATGATATCTAAAGTGATCGATGTTTTCATTATCTTGGTATTCATTAACTAAATCGAAAGTAGGATTTTCCGTTCACAAAGTATGGGAAAATCTTTCATTTTAATATTTTAACATAGATGATGTCATCAATAAGGTGTACTTTTTCAGTCATTTGGATAATCTGTCAAATAATTTCCGGTCACCAAAATTTTCAGTCTGTGAATTCGTGTCCAAAAAACGAAACTGAATGGGAAATAAGACGTGCAATCAAGGATTGTAAAGAACCAACACCTGACTATCACTGTGCTACAATAGA